TAGACCTGATACCCGCAACGTTTTCCAAAAAGCTGAGCACTCCCCATTCCTATCAAAGTGAAAGAACTGCCGATGTCCTACACTTCTAAACTCTGGATACTTAATGGTGAGAAAAAAATTCTGAATCATCTACTGAAAAGGCAGTTCATTTAATGAAAAGCCACTTTGAGTCAATCAAAATTATTTATCAACTTCTGAAAACATGTTTACTCTAAATGACATTTTAAGCCAGTTTAGCTAAATGTAACTTGTTCTTTTTTACAAGAAAAGACATCCAAATATTTAATCCGAATTAAAGAAAATATTTCAGTCATTTAAGTAGCAAATTAATCTTGTTTAATGCTTCAATTAAAAAAGCCCAAACCACTGAAAATTCTGCATACAAAGGTACTGCTTGTTTGTATTTTTTTCCAAGGGAGAAGGTGACTGAAGCAGCAAGCCACCCGCAGCACCGTTGTCATTTGCAGGGGAATCACACGATTCAATATTTCAGGACCAGATCTTCAACAAACAAATAAAAATTCATATTACAGCAGTGTGGTGCTGATTTGCTCTGAAAGTAAATACTTTTCTGTTATTCTGTTGAGCTTTTTCATTGCAAATTGGTATTTTTCCAAAGGCCAAAATGAAAAGAAAAAGAATAACTCTGGAGCACGTGTACAAAACTCAAATAATTCTCCAGTAGGAATGGTGGCAGGAGCAGCAACAGCAGCTGCAGATGAATGCTCAGTCAATTCAGATGTTTGTGTTCCTGAGTTCTTGAGTAGTGAGGTTCTGCTTTTGTAGATGTATACATTTAAGTGTCTAAATATAAGGCTATAGTCTATGTTTGAAGTTTTTGGCATATTGACCCTGTAAACAAAGACTGGATTATTTTAAAAAAGAAAAAGTGATAGTTCAGAAAGAAATTGTTGATTCAATGTAGGAATTATGAAATAAATGTCAGACAAAATTGTAAGACTTATCCCCCAAACAGATAACATGGATTTTGTCCCCAATATCCTTCAGAGAGGAAAACTCTTAATCCAACTGCGATAATGCTTTGAACTTAAACTAGTCAGTCTGTGAGAGGGTCTAACTTAAAACACGAACTAGGGATCTGAGCAGCTGCAGGGTCACACTCTCACGCAGCTGGGCTGAGTCAAGAGAAGTGAATTCAGAGGAGATCAGGTGAGATCTGCCTGGCAGGGCAGCCGTACCTCATGCTGACTCCTTCTGATTTGAAAACCTGCCCAAAAGGCATGGGTGCAGATTTTTCTTGGGGTGATTCCGTGGGTTTTCAGCTCCGCTTGCCTGGGAGTGGAGGCAGCCCTGTTTCCTCTGCAGGGACTGGGGGTTCGCAACTGCTTTCCCCAAGGTGGGTTATAAGGTGTGCTGGAGAGAGAAATAAACACCACCGTTATGTGGCATGTCCTTAACGAAGTTACTGATGTTACCCTGGGGAGAAGGCACTACAGTTTCTTTGGTTCCTCCGCTGAGGTTTCTAAGCTCTGGAGCCGCTTCTGATGCTCGCCAGCTCTCCCAGTGCTCCACACAACTGCAAAGGCAGCTTGAACTTGGCGAGGCAGAGGCAGGTCTGCAAACCCCACGCACTCCTTCCCCTCCGGATGCAAAGCGTGGTACAGAGAGGAGCGTCTCAGCCTTCGCGCAGTCGGTTTGTAGCCTTCTCCTTTGAGAAGACAAAGGTGAAAACATAAAAGCCGTGCAAAACAATCTTGGTAGCTGAAAAACACCGAGCTCCCTTCAAAACTGAAAACCCAGAGGTCCCTGCAGCACAAACGTCCTGCAGTGTAGGATGATGTTGCTATCCTAAACAAGCGTCAGAGACTTCGGGGCTGAACCACGGCCTCGCTGAGCTGTTCGGATATCCTCAGAGCTGCGGGCTGCCACGGGATGGCCATGGAGGGTAAGAAACTGCTCCAAAGCAGAAAGAAAACAAATTTAAAAAGCTTTCAGAGACTTGCCAATGAAGTTTCTTTGGCTCTGCGCCTGGGCATCACTCCCAAATTCAGCCTCTCGCCCTCAGATAAAGCACTGCAGCCTGGAATGAGAGTCAGATGCGTGGGAGGGGAGTGCGTGTATCTGTGCCTGGGCTGGAAAACATATGTACTGTAATGCCTAGAAAATGCTTTTTACATTGGGCCTTGCTCCAGAAAACCTTTTTCTTTGCTTTTACAACTGTTCCCAGTTGCTTGGGACTGCCCAGATGTCAAGCCAAGGCCTGAGGACAAGGAGCGCCCTTTCTTTGCGCTCTTCCCTCCGCCATCCCGATGTGGGAGCCGCCAGCCTTGGGCACATCCTCAGGAGATGGGCGAGAAGGGACCGTGACCCCTGGCTGGGGGGTGGCCTGCCCGCAGACCCCAACCCCACGGCTGCTGCCTTCATCTGCTACAAGGAGGGGATCAAGTCCCAGCCTCAGCAGAGAGGGGGGACAACTCAATACCTCATGGGGCAAAAGGAGGGAGAGAGGAAGAGGAGAGCCTGAGAGGCTGTGGCTGGCCCATTCCAACCATTTTATCGCGAGCCTACATTACTGGGCGGGTCGATTGTTACTGTTTTGTTGTGGTTTAACCCGGCAGGCAGCTGAACACCACCCAGCCGCTCGCTCACTGCCCCCCTTCCTCAGTGGGATGGGGGAGAGAATCGGAAAAAAAAGGGAAACCCATGGGTTGAGATAGAGACAGTTTAATAAAACAGCAGCGGAAAAGAATAACAATAATAATGGCAAGAGAATATACAGAATATACAAAGCAACTGACGCGCAGTGCAATTGCCCACCACCCGCTGACCGATGCCCAGCCTGTCCTGAGCAGGGATCTTCATCCCCCCAAGCATGACGTATGGTCTGGCATAGCCCGTTGGGCAGTGGGGGTCAGCTGGCCTGGCCGTGCCCCCTCCCAGCCGGAAAAGAATAACAATAATAATGGCAAGAGAATATACAGAATATACAAAGCAACTGACGCGCAGTGCAATTGCCCACCACCCGCTGACCGATGCCCAGCCTGTCCTGAGCAGGGATCTTCATCCCCCCAAGCATGACGTATGGTCTGGCATAGCCCGTTGGGCAGTGGGGGTCAGCTGGCCTGGCCGTGCCCCCTCCCAGCTTCTTGTGCCCCTGGCAGAGCAGGGGAAGCTGGAGAGTCCCTGACTAATGTAAGCCCTGCTTAGCAACAACTAAACCATCAGTGTCTTATCAACATTCTTCTGGTCCAAACCACAGCACTATGCCAGCTACTAGGGAGAAAATTAACTCCATCCCAGCTGAAACCAGGACTTTTTTAAAGTCTGTATCCAGGAATTTTGTAATTCTGTGAGGAATTTAGCTCTTCTCAAAATTAAAAGCAAACGCACACCAACATCATCGAACCGTACGTCCTTAGCGGGCCAGGTGGCAGAAAGCAGCTGGAAAAATGTGAATCCTTTTTCACATCACCATTTTAAAACCAGTCTCTCCCCGGGGGGCGGGAGTTGGCTTCTGGCTGGAAGAGGGCAGAGCGGTTTTAAGCCAAGGGAGGCGCAGGTGAAGCCAAGCGCAATGGCCGCGGCCCAGGGCCTGGAGAACGGGCGGGGGGAGAGGAAGGGGAGAGACCGGGGCCTCCCTCAGGGCCACAGCCAGGCTCGGGGCTGCGGGGGCGCTGCGGG